TTGGTCGTTGTTTGCAGGGCTCGCTGTCGGTGCCGTCGCGGACGTGACCCGCTTGGGGCAGAACGCCGCCTGCCCAACAGCGGCCACCGTCGGCTGCGGATCACCACCCACCAAACCACCCCAACCCAACCCGAAGGCCTCAATTTGCCTTCCGTTCCCAGTGGGGGGGGGCCGGGGAACATCGAAAAACACGTATGGAGCCCATACCCCCCCAACCCGAAATTCGGGTCTTCGGGTTGGGTTTGGGTGGTCTGGTAAGTGGTCAGTGGACAGCATGTGTTATAATCTCCTGTTGGGCATCGTTCCCTTTTTCCCGTGCCCGCTGCGATTGGTGATTGGCTTGCGGGGGGCGCCCTCCAGGGGGCTGCGCGAGAGGGCGCGCGTCATCCCCGATTTCAGTTCAGAGTTTCGAGCTTCACAGTTCTGCTGCCAGCTGAACGTGCTTGGACATCGGTGCCAATGCTGTGAATGAATGAGTGTCGGCGTCCAAGACGGCTGGCGGCTTTCCTGGGACCCCCTCCTGGCTGCTGGTGAGCCTCCTCGGGCGCGCCGGGCCCTTCGAAGGAGGCCCGTGCCTTCTAAGAAACTCTCCCCCCCCCGTTCTTGGCAGCCCACCCGGGTGGGCTGTTCCTACGTGGCAGAGCAACCACGTGGGCCACCTGAAAATCGTGACGGGCTCCACGGGTGCCGCAGCGGCGGTGGCGCTCGCTGCTTGCGGTGCCGCGGCGGGCCTGGAAGCCCGCGTGGGAGGTTGGGTGTCGTGGGGCATTTTTCCCGGAAAGGGCATAAGCCCAGGGTTCTCTTTTAGATGGTTTCCCCCCGGGTTTGACGGGAAGAGGGCCGGCGGATTTCTTTTGCGATAAATACGAGTGGGAAGAGGGCCGGCGAATTAAAATTTGAGGATGTCCCTAGCGAAACGCTTGTTTTTCAGAATTTGTTGAGGATGTCTCGAGCGAAACGCTGGTTTTGTGTTATAGATTGTCCTTTCCTGGGGACCAGAATTTAGAGGATCTCTCAAGTGAAATGCTTGGTTTCACGTGCCTAAGTCTCGAGGATGTCTCGAGCGAGACGCTTGGTTTCACGCCTCCAGGTTGCCCAGGCAGAGGTCAAGCGCCAGGATCTGTTGAGGATGTCTCGAGCGAGACGCTTGGTTTCACGCGTCCTCGTCGCCCAGGCGGATGTCTAGAATGAGGAGGTGTTGAGGAAGTCTCGATCGAGATGCTTGTTTGCACGTGTCCAGGTTGCCCAGGCGGATGCCTAGCATGAGGATGTGTTGAGAATGTCTCGAGAGATACGCTTGTTTTCACGTGTCCAGGTCGCCAGGCGGATGTCTAACATGAAGATGTGTTGAGGATGTCTCGAGCGAGACGTTTGCTTTCACGTGTACAGGTCGCCAAGGCGGATGTCTAGAATGAGGAGGTGTTGAAAACGTCTCGAGCGAAACGCTTGTTTTCACGTGCCCAGGTCACCCAGGCGGACGTCTCACATGAAGATGTGTTGAGGATGTGTTGAGCGAAACGTTTGTTTTCACGTGTCCAGGTCGCTCAGGCGGATGTCTAGAATGAGGATTTTGACAGGATGTCTCGAGCGAAACGCTTGTCCCCAGCACGTTCCGTAGCGCGTCCCCTTGGCACGTCCCGCGGTGCGTGCCCATGGCACGTCCCCTGGGATGTCGCTTGGCGCGTCCCTTGAGACGTTCCGCGTCGCGTCCTCCTGGCATGTCCCCCTGTCAATTAGCTCTGGGGCAGCTACTATGTGTTCAGGCAGCTCGAGCTTAAGATCCAGATCAGTTCGGTCAGGACTCGGATGCAAAGGAGGACTCGATCCACGAGGCATAGAGCACAACCGCGGCATGGCACATCGCAATTCAGCACGGTGCAGCACAGCACAGACTTCGGCACGGTACATCAAGATCGACACAATCAGCATCGCAACTTGGCACGTTCCTTGGCACGTTCCGTGGGGCGTCCCTTGGCGAGTCCCCCTGGCACGTCGCGTGGCGCGTCCCCTGGCACATTCCGTGGCACATCCATTGGCACGTTCCGTAGCGCGTCCCCTTGGCACGTCCTTACGGTGCGACCCCATGGCGCGTCCCCTGGCACGTCGCCTGGCGCTCCCTTGGGACGTTTCGCGGCGCGTCCTCCTGGCATGTCCCCTGTCCATTAGCTCTGGGGCAGCTACTATGTGTTCAGGCAGCTCGAGCTTAAGATCCAGATCAGTTCGGTCAGGACTCGGATGCAAAGGAAAACTCGATCCACGACGCTATAGAGCACAACCGCGGCATGGCACATCGCAATTCAGCACGGTGCAGCACAGCACAGCCCTCGGCACGGTACACCAAGATCGATACAATCAGCATTGCACTTGCCCGTCACCCAATCAGGTGTCTTTGAAAACGTTGCCATGCGTTACATTTCTATATTCCTTTCCGGGTTCGTGGGTCGATCATGTTTGGGATGGGCCCTCATGTCGCCGACGGGTTGCGGCAGACAGTGGTCCCCGCAGCAACCGCGCAAGTCGAGGCTGCCGTCGCTTCGCCTCCGTTGTAGCCGCGTTGGGTCGCGTGGTCCCTGGGCTACTGTTTGCGAGCGCCAGCGCGCATCGGCTTCTCGGGGCGCCGCTGCCGCTACGGCGTCGGCGTCTTCCGCGGGGCGGGCGATCTTGTCAACCGAGAAAAATAACCAGAACACCAAGGTGTCTACATAATTCCTCCCCGCGCCCCCTTGCGCCACCCCCTTGTCGGGTGTTGCTGGAGGTGCCCCTGGCCCAAGGTGCCCCCAGGATTTCCAGGGAGGTCCCCACGGCCTCCAGAGCACCCCTCGCGAGGCCCAGGGGTGGCCCCATGGGCCCCGAAGTGGAGCGAAAAGCTGGGGGCACCATGGGCCAGCTGCACCTTTCTAGCAGCCCCCGACCTCGTGGGCGCCTCCACAGAGAGGGGGGGGTTGAGCACCGAGCTCCCGTCGCCCATCCCTTGCCGATCAGGGCCTGGGCCTCCTCTCCCACCCGGGGGCGCGCTTTTTTGTAGTTGTGTTTTTTGTTGGGTTTTGGTTTTGTTTTGGTTTGGTTGTTTGTGTTGTTTTTTCCCCGTAAGGGCGGGCCCAGGGTTCCTTTTAGTAGGTTTAACCCCCCCGGCCGGGAAAAAAAGGTGCGCCCGGCGAAATTTATTTTTTGTATAGGCAACGCACGGGTAGGACCGGCGAAATTAATGTTGAGGATGTCTCGAGCGAAACGCTTGTTTTTCAGAATTTGTTGAGGATGTCTCGAGCGAAACGCTGGTTTTGCAGAGTTGGGGATTTCTCGAGCGAAACGCTTGGTTTCAGAATTTGTTGAGGATGTCTCGAGCGAAACGCTGGTTTTGCAGAGCCGACCGCGACACGGAAAAGCGCTCCTCGCGCAGGAATTCCGAGGATGTCTCGCGCGTGCCGCGTCCCGCACGCAGGAATTTGATTTCTTTGGGTTTTGACAGGATTTCTCAAGCGAAACGCTTGTTTTTCATAATTTGTTGAGGATGTCTCGAGCGAAACGCTGGTTTTGCAAAATTGGGGATGTCTCGAGCGGGGGCCTCGTGGGGGGCCAGAATTCAAAGGATGTCTCAGGCGAAATGCTTGTTTTCACGTCCCGCTCGCAGGAATTCCGAGGATGTCTCGCGCGTGCCGCGTCCCGCGCGTAGGAATTCGGATGATTGTGATAGGATGTCTCGAGCGAAACGCTTGTCCCCAGCACGTTCAGTAGCGCGTCCCCTTGGCACGTCCCGCGTTGCGACCCCATGGCACGTCCCCTGGCACGTCGCCTGGCGCATCCCTTGGGACGTTTCGCGGCGCGTCCTCCTGGCATGTTCCCCTTGTCAATTAGCTCTGGGGCAGCTACTATGTGTTCAGGCAGCTCGAGCTTAAGATCCAGATCAGTTCGGTCAGGACTCGGATGCAAAGGAGGACTCGATCCACGACGCTATAGAGCACAGTCGCGCCATGGCACATCGCAATTCAGCACGGTGCAGCACAGCACAGCCCTCGGCAGGGTACATCAAGATCGATACACTCAGCATTGCAACTTGGCACGTTCCTTGGCACGTTCCGTGGGGCGTCCCTTGGCGAGTCCCCCTGGCACGTCGCGTGGCGCGTCCCCTGGCACATTCCGTGGCACATCCATTGGCACGTTCCGTAGCGCGTCCCTTTGGCACGTCCTACGGTGCGACCCCATGGCGCGTCCCCTGGCACGTCGCCTGGCGCATCCCTTGGGACGTTTCGCGGCGCGTCCTCCTGGCATGTTCCCCTGTCCATTAGCTCTGGGGCAGCTACTATGTGTTCAGGCAGCTCGAGCTTAAGATCCAGATCAGTTCGGTCAGGACTCGGATGCAAAGGAGGACTCGATCCACGACGCTATAGAGCGCAGTCGCGCCATGGCACATCGCAATTCAGCACGGCGCAGCACAGCACAGCCCTTGGCAGGGTACATCAAGATCGATACACTCAGCATTGCATTTGCCCGTCACCCAATCAGGTGTCTTTGAAAACGCTGCCATGTGTTACAGTTCTATATTCCTTTCCGGGTTCGTGGGTCGATCATGTTGTTTTGTTTTGGTTTGTTTTGTGTTGTGTTGTTGTTGTTGTTGTTGTTGTTGTTGTTGTTGTTGTTGTTGTTGTTGTTGTTGTTGTTGTTGTTGTTGTTGTTGTTGTTGTTGTTGTTGTTGTTGTTGCTATCGAGTGCCGATCGCTGATCTATCGGCGATGTACGTCGTCGTCGTCGTCGTCGTCGTGGTCGCCGTGGTAGTGGTCGTCGTCACCGTCGTCGTCGTCCTCGTCGTCGTCGTCATCCTCGTCGTCGTCGTCGTGGTCGTCGTCGTCGTCCTCGCCGTCCTCGTCGTTGTCGTCGTCGTCGTCGTTGTGATCGAGCCTTGGGATCACATCGCCGATCCCGAGTGGATGCTTCCCCCCCTCTGGTCCCCCACACACGCCCTTGAGCGGACCCCCCGTATCGTTCCCCCCGACTTGAGAGCGAAGGCACGCGGGCCGACGTGCCGCTCGAGGGTGTGGGCAGAACGCATCTGCTGCAGTCGGAACGAGGCAGAAAGTCGAGGTCGGTGCTTCTGGGCGGGCCAGATCATCGACATGCTCTGGGCGCAGGGGCGATGCATGCTACAGTGGAGGCCCATGCAAAGAAGCACCCCGCGCGCCTCCAGGGTGCCCTGGGTTTCTAGGGCTTCGATGGTTTTGCGATGGAAGGCGTGGCGTTCCAACACAAAAAAGCAGTGGACGTCCTGGGGTCTCAGGGTTGGGTTTCTTGTGGAAGGTTTCTTCTGGACTGACCTCCACTGCACTGCGGACCGGATCGTGCCCGCCGTTGCCACAATGCCAGCTGCTTACAGGCAGGAAGGTTTGGTTCGCGTGTCGCTGCCGCCGGTTCTGGCCCCCCACCATGAGGCCCAGGCACGACACGCTGAGCACCTCATGGTCCCCAAGCATCAACTCCTTCTTCTCCTCCCCCGCCTCCTCCTCTTCCTCCTCTTCCTCATCCTCCTCATCCTCATCCTCATCACCATCACCATCACCATCATCAGTACCACCATCATGGTCATCATCACCATCACCATCACCATCACCATCACCATCATCATCACCATCACATCACCATCACCATCACCATCACCATCACCATCACCATCACCATCACCATCACCATCACCATCACCATCACCATCATCATCATCATCATCATCATCATCATCATCATCATCATCAGCATCAGCATCAGCATCAGCATCAGCATCAGCATCAGCATCATCATCACCATGAACAGCAGCGGCAGCAGCAGCACCACCATCGTCATCGTAATCATTCGTCATCATTGCGTCGAAGGGGCCGCCGCCCCGACTCGTTGCGCAACAGTTCATGGCCGTAATCTTTGGGCGCGCTCATTCGCAGTTCCACCAGGCCAGGGGCTGCGTGCTGCATGCCACGCTGCCATCACCACGCCGCCATGCCAGTTCTGTCTTGCTGACACTGTTTGCGGTACTTGCGTTCCTGGAAGGGAAGGAGGACGCCGCTGCCGCCAACGACGACTGCGGCGACGTCGGCGGCGGCGGCGACGGCGACGGCGGAGGCAGCGCTGCAGCAGGCGTGGACGACGTCGGCCACGACAACCACGATGTGGACGAATCTGCCGACGACAGAAGTGGCGGCGTCGACGGCGACGCCCCCCGTAGATCTGCCGATCTTTTTTTCCCGGAAAGGGCGCGGGCCCAGGGTTCTCTTTTAGTAGGTTAACCCCCCGGCCCCCCTGCGACTTGGGCCGGCGAAATTATTCTGCGATAAATTACGTGCGGGAGTAGGGCCGGCGAAATTATTTTTGAGGATGTCTCGAGCGAAACGCTTGTTTTTCAGAATTTGTTGAGGATGTCTCGAGCGAGACGCTGGTTTTGCAGAGTTGGGGATGTCTCGAGCGAAACGCTTGGTTTCAGAATTTGTTGAGGATGTCTCGAGCGACACGCTGGTTTTGCAGAGCCGACCGCGACACGGAAATGCGCTCCTCGCGCAGGAATTCCGAGGATGTCTCGCGCGTGCCGCGTCCCGCGCGCAGGAATTTTGATTTCTTTGGGTCTTGACAGGATTTCTCGAGCGAAACGCTTGTTTTTTCATAATTTGTTGAGGATGTCTCGAACGAAACGCTGGTTTTGCAAAATTGGGGGATGTCTCGAGCGGGGGCCTCGTGGGGGGCCAGAATTCAGAGGCTGTCTCAGGCGAAATGCTTGTTTTCGTGTCCCGCTCGCAGGACTTCCGAGGATGTCTCGCGCGTGCCGCGTCCCGCGCGTAGGAATTCGGATGATTTTGACAGGATGTCTCGAGCGAAACGCTTGTCCCCAGCACGTTCAGTAGCGCGTCCCCTTGGCACGTCCCGCGGTGCGACCCCATGGCACGTCCCCTGGCACGTCGCCCAGCGCGTCCCTTGGGACGTTTCGCGGCGCGTCCTTCTGTCAATTAGCTCTGGGGCAGCTGCTATGTGTTCAGGCAGCTCGAGCTTCAGATCCAGATCAGTTCGGTCAGGGCTCGGATGCAAAGGAGGACTCGATCCACGACGCTATAGAGCACAATCGCGGCATGGCACATCGCAATTCAGCACGGCGCAGCACAGCACAGATTTCGGCACGGTACATCAAGATCGATACACTCAGCATTGCAACTTGGCACGTTCCGTGGCACGTTCCGTGGCGCGTCCCTTGGCGAGTCTCCCTGGCATGTCGCGTGGCGCGTCCCCTGGCACTTATCCTACGGTGCACCGCATGGCGCGTCCCCTGGCACGTCGCCTGGCGCATCCCTTGGGACGTTTCGCGGCGCGTCCTCCTGGCATGTTCCTCTTGTTAATTAGCTCTGGGGCAGCTACTATGTGTTCAGGCAGCTCGAGCTTAAGATCCAGATCAGTTCGGTCAGGACTCGGATGCAAAGGAGGACTCGATCCACTACGCTATAGAGCACAGTCGCGCCATGGCACATCGCAATTCAGCACGGCGCAGCACAGCACAGCCCTCGGCAGGGTACATCAAGATCGATACACTCAGCATTGCATTTGCCCGTCACCCAATCAGGTGTCTTTGAAAACGCTGCCATGTGTTACAGTTCTATATTCTTTCCGGGTTCGTGGGTCGATCATGTTCAATCCGCGGCCCCAGATGTCCAGGCCCTCTTTTTCCCGGAAAGGGCTCGAGCCCAGGGTTCTCTTTTAGCTGTTTACCCCCGGATTCGACGGCTGTAGGGCCGGCGAAATTATTCTGCGATAAATTACGTGCGGGAGGAGGGCCGGCGGAATTATTTATGAGGATGTCCCTAGCGAAACGCTTGTGTTTCAGAATTTGTTGAGGATGTCTCGAGCGAAACGCTGGTTTTGCAGAGTTGGGGATGTCTCGAGCGAAACGCTTGTTTTCAGAATTCGTTGAGGATGTCTCGAGCGAAACGCTGGTTTTGCAGAGCTGACCGCGACGCGGAAAAGCGCCCCGCGCGCAGGAATTCCGAGGATGTCTCGCGCGTGCCGCGTCCCGCGCGCAGGGATTTTGAGGATGTGTCGACTAATTCGCTTGTTTTGCCAGGATTTCTTTGGATGTTGAAAGGATGTCTCTAGCGAAACGCTTGTTGTTTCAACATTTGTTGAGAGGTCTCGAGCGAATCGCTGGTTTGCAAAATTTGGGGATGTCTCGAGCGGGGGCCATCTCGCGGGGGGGGCCTCTAGGGGTCCAAATTCAGAGGATGTCCACCCAATGTTTGTTTACAATCCCATCCATCCCGCTCGCAGAATGCCGAGGATGCTCCGCGTGCCGCGTCCCGCGCGCAGGAATTCTGAGGATGGCGGCTAGGATATCGAGCGAAACGCTTTTTCCCCCAGCACGTTCCGGAGCGCGTCTCCGTGGCACCGTCCCGCCGTGTCGTCCCCATGGCACGTCCCTTGGCAACGTCGCCAGGCGCGTCCCCTTGCAACGTATCCGCGTCGCGGTCCCGCACTGGCCTGTCCCCCCTGTCAAGGCGGGGTGGCAGCTACTATGTGTTCAGGCAGCTCGAGCTTAAGATCCAGATCAGTTCGGTCAGGACTCGGATGCAAAGAGGACTCGATCCACAACGCTATCTAGAGCACAATCGCGGCATGGCACATCGCAGTTCAGCACGGCGCAGCACAGCACAGATTTCGGCACGGTACATCAAGATCGATACACTCAGCATTGCCACTTGGCACGTCCCTTGGCACGTTCCGTGGGGCGTCCCTTGGCGAGTCCACCTGGAACGTCGCGCGGCGCGTCCCCTGGCACATCCCGTGGCACATCCATTGGCACGTTCCGTAGCGCGTCCCCTTGGCACGTCCCGCGGTGCGTCCCCATGGCACGTCCCCTGGCACGTCGCCTGGCGCATCCCTTGGGACTTTTCGCGGCGCGTCCTCCTGGCATGTTCCCCTGTCACTTAGCTTTGAGGCAGCTACTATGTGTTCAGGCAGCTCGAGCTTAAGATCCAGATCAGTTCGGTCAGGACTCGGATGCAAAGGAGGACTCGATCCACGACGCTATAGAGCACAATCGCGCCATGGCACATCGCAATTCAGCACGGTGCAGCACAGCACAGCCCTCGGCAGGGTACATCATTATCGATACACTCAGCATTGCATTTGCCCGTCACCCAGTCAGGTGTCTTTGAAAACGCTGCCATGTGTTACAGTTCTAGATTCCTTTCCGGGTTCGTGGGTCGATCATGTTTCCCGGAAAGGGCTCGAGCCCCGGATCTGACGGCTGATGGGCCGGCGAAATTATTCTGTGATAAATTACGTGCGGGAGTAGGGCCGGCGGAATTATTTTTGAGGATGTCTCGAGCGAAACGCTTGTTTTTCAGAATATGTTGAGGATGTCTCGAGCGAAATGCTGGTTTTGCAGAGTTGGGGATGTCTCGAGCGAAACGCTTGCTTTTCAGAATTTGTTGAGGATGTCTCGAGCGAAACGCTGGTTTTGCAGAGCCGACCGCGACACGGAAAAGCGCCCCTCGCGCAGGAATTCTGAGGATGTCTCGCGCGTGCTGCGTCCCGTGCGCAGGAATCTAGATTTCTTAGGATTTTGACAGGATGTCTCGAGCGAAACGCTGGTTTTGCAGAGTTGGGGGATGTCTCGAGCGAAACGCTTGCTTTTCAGAATTTGTTGAGGATGTCTCGAGCGAAACGCTGGTTTTGCAGAGTTGGGGTATCTAACATGGCGTCGGGCCCAACGCCGTATTATGAGGAAAAGTGATGGCTTCTTGCTCTGAACAGGGGGGTGCGCTTTGGGGGCCTCTCCAGGGAAGACGTTGTGAGGATGTCTCGAGCGGGAGCGCGAATTCAGCGTATCCAAGTCACGCAGAGGGGTATCTAACATGGCTGTCCCGAGCTGGAACCACGTGTTTTTTTCATGCTCAGGCCACCCAGGGAGATCTCTAACATGATTGTCCCGAGCTGGAACCACGTGTTTTTACGTGTCCAGGCCACCCAGGGGGTATCTCTCATGGTTGTCCCGAGCTGGCACCGTGTTTTTACGTGTCCAGGCCACCAACACGACGCTTGTCCCCAACACGTTCTGTAGCGCGTCCCCTTGGCACGTCCCGCGGTGCGTCCCCGTGGCACGTCCCCTGGCACGTCGCCTGGCGCGTCCCTTGGAACGTTCCGCGGCGCGTCTTCCTGGCATAATTCCTTGTCAATTAGCTCTGCGGCAGCTACTTCGTGGACTTTGTGCTCAGGCAGCTCGAGCTTAAGATCCAGATCAGTTCGGTCAGGACTCGGATGCAACGGAGGACTTGATCCACAACGCTGTAGAGCACAATCGCGGCATGGCACATCGCAGTTCAGCACGGCGCAGCACAGCACAGCCCTCGGCACATTACATCAAGATCGGTACACTCACTCAGCATCGCAACTTGGCACGTTCTTTGGCACGTTCCGTGGCGCGTCCTGTGGCGAGTCCCCCTGGCACGTCGCGCGGCGCGTCCCCTGGCACGTCCCGTGGCACGTCCATAATGTATTGGCACGTTCCGTAGCGCGTCCCCTTGGCACGTCCCGCGGTGCGTCCCCATGGCACGTCCCCTGGCACGTTGCCTGGCGCGTCCCTTGGAACTTTCGGCGGCGCGTCTTCCTAGCATGCCCCCCGTGAGTTAGCTCTGGGGCAGCTACTATGTGCTCAGGCAGCTCGAGCTTAAGATCCAGATCAGTTCGGTTAGGACTCGGATGCAAAGGAGGACTCGATCCACAATGCTATAGAGCACAATCGTCACGTGGCACATCGCAGTTCAGCACTGCGCAGCACAGCACAGCCCGCGGCACGGTACATCAAGATCGATACACTCACTCAGCATTGCAACTTGGCACGTTCTTTGGCACGTTCCGTGGCGCGTCCTGTGGCGAGTCCCCCTGGCACGTCGCGCGGCTCGTCCCCTGGCACGTCCCGTGGCACGTCCATGGGCACGTTCCGTAGCGCGTCCCCTTGGCACGTCCCGCGGTGCGTCCCCGTGGCACGTCCCCTGACACCTCGCTTGGTGCGTCTCTTGGCACGTCCCGTGGCACGTCCATTGGCACATTCCGTAGCGCGTCCCCTTGGCACGTCCCGCGATGCGTCCCCATGGCACGTCCCCTGGCACGTCGCCTGGCGCGTCCCTTGGGACGTTCTGCGGCGCGTCCTCCTGGCATGTTCCCTTGTCAATCAACTCTGGGGCAGCTACTAGTTATGTGCTTAGGCAGCTCGAGCTTAAGATCCAGATCAGTTCGGTCAGGACTCGGATGCAAAGGAGGACTCGATCCACAACGCCATAGAGCACACTCGTGGCATGGCACATCGCAATTCAGCACGGCACAGCACAGCACAGCCCTCGGCACGGTACATCAAGGTCGATACACTAAGCTTTGCATTTGCCCGTCGCCCAAGCAGGTGTCTTTGAAACGTTGCCATGTCTTACATTTCTATATTCCTTTCCGGGTTCGTGGGTCGATCATGTTTGTGTCCTGAGTGCGTTCTGATGGTCCCTGGGACCGAAAACGGTCCCCGAGGGCCGCAATAGAATCAAGAACGGGGGTTGAAAAAGTCATACAGTCAACCCGCACAGTAGGGATGGGCAGCCTTCCCAAGGGTACCCTTGCACCCTTGCCTCCTCGGTCCATACTTGGCCGCTTTCGTGGGCCGCGCCGCGCTCGAGAAGCCTCGGCATGGCCGTCCGGGGCCCTGGCATCCTCCTCGCAGATCCTCAGGACACGGGCCGGCTGTGGCGTCGGAGGGCAGGGAGGACAGCGGCGGCGGCGGCGACGGCGGCGCCCTGCGGCGCCCACCCCGCGGAGGCCCGAGCCCGTGTGCGTCTCGCGCCCGAACCGCTGGACCCGGGAGTCGTGGGCGCCGGCCGCGGGCGGCGTGGAGGCGCGGCCAGCGGCGCCCGAGCCCGCGGGGAGCTGCCGGGCGGCGGCAGATCCCCCGCCCGTCTCGGGGGCCCCCACACGGGGCCCCCAATTACTTTCCAGATGTCTACAACATGCGTTAAACATGTTTTGAACATGTAAAGACATGGTTAAAACATGTGTAGAACATTTTCCTACAGTCTCAACATATTTTTTAAATTCAATGATAGGACTGTTAGGGTGCCCATTGTCGTGGCATCCACAAAGCTACAGGTTCGGTTCTGGCGGTCGCCTTCGGTGAGGGCGCATGATATGAGCATGTACTTCTTTCGGGGGCCCCCAAGCGGGGTGGCGACCACACCGTGCGGCGAGTCGGGTGGGGCTTCGGGGTCCCCGCACGGTTTGGGGCGCGGGTCGTGCTCCGAGGACGTCTCGGGCGACCGGGGCCTCCGGGGTCCCAGGGCCGTGCGGTGACGGACCGCGCGGTGAGGTCTTGGGGGATTTCGAGGTCACCGCACGGTCTGTCACCGCACCGTTTCGGGACTCCCACCTGTCTTCCCCTCCTTTCAGCTCGAACCGCTCGAGAGTAGGAGCTCGACCACAAGAAACCTTCACACGAAACGCAACCCTGAGACCCCAGGAAGGCTATGAATGTTTGGTGTGGGAACGTCGCGCTCTCCATGGCAAAAACCATCGGAACCCAAGAAACCCAGGGCACCCTGGAGGCAAGCAGGGTGTTTCCTGGCATTGGTTTCCACTGTAGCCGGGGTCCGAGCAGATGGGATCGGAGGCTCGCGCCGCATTTCCGGTGCGTCGGCGGTGCGGTTCGACGCACCGGCGATGCGGCTCGATGTGGAGCCCGATTCTCCGACGTCGCCGCTGCATCGCCGACGTTGCCCCATGCACCGCCGATGCATCGCTGATGCGGCGCGATAGTCCGACGCCATCTGCTCGGGCCCCACCTCGGAGGCCTCTCTATCCCTTCCTGGACAGCTCGAGGAGCGGAGCCCCAGACCGCCCAGACCCAGAGCTCCAACGCTATGAACCAAGGCGGCGGATTCCCATGGTTTTCGGCCTCTGGGGGCCCTCGAGATCCAGGATCGTCCAACAGGACCTGGACCGTCCAGCAAGGATCTTGGACGAAGAACCGGCTTCTGGGAAGCGGTGCAGAGGTCCGGGGGCCCTCAGACGGTGCGGTGACCGCACCGTGGGGCGAGTCAGCGGGGTCTCGGATTGGCCGCACGGCTTTGGGCCTCGGGAGGCGGGGGCCTCTGGCGCCCCAACACCGAGCTGCGACGGACCGCGCGGTGAGGTCATTCGGGATCTCCAGCTCACCGCACGGTCCGTTACCGCAAGCTTTTGGAACCTCCAGATGGATCGAAGAGCAAAAGTCGAGGCCGCCCAGATGGGACCGCAGCAGGTGGGGTCGGAGGGTCGCGCCGTGCTGCGGGCGCGATCTGGACTCCGATGATCCTCGGCCCGTCGTCGCAGCGCGATCCGCCATCTGGACCGTCTCCAAGAGATCGGCACAGGCATACACTTTTGGGAGGTCCGCGCGGATTTCTTGGGTCGCTCTGGCGCCGACCTCGGAGCACTGCGCGGGCAATCAGTGGTGTGGGTCCGGCGCCGATCCGAGAAATCCGCTCGGAATTCGAACGTCGATGTCCATGCTGTTTTTATGATCCGCGCTGGTTGAGTTTGAGTTGAGTTTGCGACCCGCGCCAGTTTGAGTTGAGTTTCAGCTCAGTGTGAAGGAGGTTGAGTTTTCCGACCCGCGTCAGTTCTGCCCGCGGTCTGCACTCGCGTGGGTCTCGAGCTCGGGCTCGTTCCTGCGGTACTGGGCCCGTCTTGCTGGAGCCCTTTTTGGGTCGTCCTGGAGGGTTCCTGGGCAGTCTCGTGACCATCTGGGGGCTCTCGTGGGGCCGTGGGGCAGTTTTGGGCCGTCTTGGGTGCTTCGGTAGAGGGAAACAATTAGTGAACACCCCCCCTGCCCCCCAAACTCAAGGTTGGCACGCGCGGGGGAGACTGCGGTCGAGGTGCAACTCATCAGACCCACCGCCAACTTTGAACATTGGGGGGAGGGGGAGGCGTTCACAGATGAATGTGGCATGACCGTTCGCTATTTTTTTCCGAGGCCTGTTCTTGGGGGCTCTGAAGCTCTCCTGAAGGCCCTGGGAACAAGACATGTGAATCTTCATGCAGGCTTCTGAACCTTACTTTTCTTTAAGCGCCTCGCCGGATGCCCCTTCGGGCGTTTTTGGGAGGCGTCTTGGGGCACCTTGGGGCTCGAATTGGGCCCCTGGCCCCTCGACTATCAACAACAACGGCTCCCGCCAGCTACTTCTTCACAAGTCGTTTCACGATCGCGCTCTCGCGCGGGACTTCCTCACAATGTAAGCAGGAATCGCGCTCTCGCGTGGTACGCCGCACCCTCGGCACTCAGGAATCACGCTCTCGCTTTGGACGTCGTCACGATTTACTTGGGAGTCGCGCTTTCGCTCGAGACTTCCTCGCGATTCATGCAACACTCACGCTTCAGCAACCAGCCTGCTCGACATGGCCGCCTGGGCCCGCCTTCCCGACCCGCCCGCTAGGGTCTGCCCGCCCGATCTGCCCGTCTGCCACGTGTTTTCTGCTCCTAGCCCGCCTCCTCCTGATTTCTACCTCCCCCCACCATCCGTCGTCTCTTCCCCTGTTTTAGGGCCTGCGCTAAATGCACGTGGCAGGTAAGGGAGATATGTTTCCCAAAGGGGTACGATCAAAGACGAAGAGGGCGGGTACCGAGGGTTTGAGAGATACGTGGGGAATGACACGCGAGCAAATGGGGGCGATCAGTCTGAACATGATGTTTGCTGTTGTCGCTGATGATAGTGGCGATGATAATGACCATGCTCCGGATGATGGCGCCAAGTATGTCTATGTTGAGGATGAGCAGGATGTTGATACGGACTTTGTTGATGTTGGTGAAGAGGATGATGACGGGGCTGATGAATATGAGGCTGATGGTGCTGATGATGAGGATCATGTGGTTAAGGACGATGATGTTGCTGATGATGATGGTGGTGGTGGTGACGGCGATGCTGATAGTTATGATGCTTACGGTGGTGGTACAATGGCCCTGACGACGATACTGCTATTGATGATGGGGATGATGATGCTGACGAGGATGGCGACGGCGATGTTGTTGCTGATGCTACTGATGAGATTGTTGATGTCGCTGATAATGAGGATTACACTGTTGCTATTTATGATTGTGGTTGTGAGGCGAATCCATTAAGTATGGTGGTTATGGTCGAGGAGCAGGACATAGAGGAGGATCAGGCGATGGGCAGGAAACGGCGACCCAGCCAGCGGGCCTCAGGACCGATCCCTCCGTGGTGGCGCTGCAGGCCCCCGCTCAGCCTCTTGCGGTGAGGAGGGGGGGTATCGAAGAGAGGGAAGTATAAGGCGGCTGGAGGGAGGTGGGGAAGGGGGGTAAGGGAGGGGGCCTGGGGCCAGAGGAGGAGGAGGAGGAGGAGGAGGAGGAGGAGGAGGAGGAGGAGGAGGAGGAGGAATGATGAGGAGGAGGAAAGCACGGGAAGAAAGGGGGAGGTATGATGAAGTGGGGGAGGAGAAGGAGGAGGAGGATGAGGAGGAGGAGGAGGAAGAGTAGGAGTAAGAGTAGGGGTAGGAAGAGGAGGAGGAGGAAATGGAGCAGGAAATGGAGGAGGCCGAGGAGGAGTAGGACCAAAGTATGGCAACGATGTATGAGCGATGCTGCAATACACCCTCCCGTCCAATCTCTTCTCGTCACACGCGCCTTCGTGGAAAGTCCGGCAGAGTTGGGTCTGCCAGTTTGGCGAGGACCCCGCTCTGAAAAGTAAGGGCGTTGATTTATTTGGCGTAATCAGGAACGCGAAACATGCTTATACAGTTCAATGGGCTGTCCAGCGAGATCACCCTCTCGAAGAGCCCCCCCGTATCCGTGCATCTCTTGCGTGAGTTTGCACACGTGGTCGTGAACTTCGAGGAAGGCTCAAGCGGCAGCTCCCTTCCAGAGAAGAGCTGCCATGGATCCGCGCAGCCCTACATGCGTACGTTGGTTTGTTTCGTGTCTTCAACCGCAGCGACGTCTGATGTGAGGGGTGCATTTTGAAACAGGGCAGGCCTCCCTCCTGCTAGATGTTGCGTTCAAAGCCAAATGCGCGCGTCGCTTAGGGGAGAGGCCCATTCTGAAAACCATGGGCGCTCATTCATTGAACATCTGGCAAGGCTTGGCACGGACGATCGCGGCGCTGAGGCGAGAACCCCTCTTGGAACTGGAACCGCCCTCCACCCGTGAAGCCAGTGCAAACTTGTAAGGCGAGTCTGCGCGGTGCCAAGGAGAGAGCCACAGTTTGACCACGCCTTTCATTCCTGAGCTTGCTGCAAGCGTTTGAGACGAGTGTGCGCTTCGCTAAGGCGAAGGCCACTCTTTGAACACGCCCCCTTCCGTTTAGGAAGCCGTTGCGCATGCTCAAGACGAGAGCGCGGGGCGCATTAGACGAGCGCCACATTGTGAGGGCGTCTTGTGTCTTGTCCGTGAAGCTGTTGTACATGTTCCGACCCCTCCTGTGTTGGGTTCTCGTTTCGAATAAATCAGAGCGTGAATTACCTACCCCGCTTTCGCTTCCAGGCAAAACCAAGCCATACCACGCGCCTCCTCGTCAAGCGGCCTGACCAGTACAGGCTGCAATTTGGCATCGCTTGGTATCTCTTGGAAGCGAGGGTGGTCAAAAGCGAGGTAGGTTTGTTTTCCCCTTAGTAAAGCACTGCCGTCTCCACCTTCTCCTCCCGCCTCCTCCCGCCTCCTCCCGCCTCCTCCTGCGCTGCTGCTCCGTGGGAGCACCGTGGGCCTCCGTCGCCTCTCCTCCCCACGTCTCCTCCTCATCCTCCCTCATCCCTCCTCCTCCGCCTCTTTCTCCTCCTGCACTCTCTTCATTGTCCTCCTCCTCCTCCTGCTCCTCCTCTCGTCCTCCTCCTCTCCTCCTCCTCCTCCTCCTCCTCCTCCTCCTCCTCCTCCTCCTCCTCCCCCTCCTCCTCCTCTTCCTTCTCCTTTCATCCCTGGGTGGCTGCGAACTGCGTAACTGTCGCCACTCTCGTGGGCTCCTGGGAGGTCATCGGGGTGGAGTTACGCGCAGATGCAGTGGAGACCTCGCGGCTCCCGGAGGGTTTGCGAACTGCGCCATTGTCGCTACGTTCGTGGGCTCCTGGGAGGTCCAGCGGAGTGGAGTTACACGCAGACCTCGCCGAGACCCCGCGGCTCCCTGGGGGACTGCGAAATGCGCAATTGTCCACAATTCTGTGGGCTCCTGTGAGGCCTGGCAGAGTGACGTCTTACCCAAATCAGAAATAGGCCTCGCCGTTCCTGGGGGCTGCGAACTGCGCAACTGTCGCTACGTTCGTGGGTTACTGGGAGGTTGGTCAGAGTGACGTCTTACGCAGGTCAGAACGAGGCCTCGGCGTCCCTGGGGGCTGCGACTTGCGAAACTGTCGCACTTCGCAGATCGCAGATCGCAGCGCAATGGGGCGCCGCGTAGCGTATGGCGCTGTCCTGTGTCAATGCCGCATCCTCTTCTCATCTGCTTCTTGACGGTAAGGCGCTTGCACATTTGCTGCGCTCAGCGCAGGACGCTGTTCTCTAATAGCGCGCATGGCGCTGCCGCCAAGCATTTGTCCAGTTCTCCCTTCGCCATATGTTTCTACGCGCGTCGTTCTGCATTTTTCGTGTGCTCGTGGTCGCCTCCTGCTAATTATTTGAGCGGTAAGAGGGATACCGCAACTGGGGAACAGTTGGCTGTGGCCCGGCGTTCTTTGGCGAAGCTTTTAAGGTTAAGGTGCATCCTTCAATTGTCGTTTTTCTGCTGAACGATTCTGTGTGTAGTCGCCTCATGTGAGCAAATTGTTGGGTCCGTCCCTGGGTTATTGTAGTGGCCTCCGGCCAGTGCCGCCGATCCGGGGCGCTCCCGATGGCGCTCGGGTTCGCTCGGAGGCCTACGGGGCCGTCTTGGGGCCCTCCTGGGGGCCGTCGTAGGACCAGGCCTCTTGATGGGGTCTTTGAGTCTCTTGGGGGCTTCTTGGAAGCCATTCCTGGCCCGCCGGACGCCGTCGGAAACCGTCTTGGGCGCCTCGCTGTGCCGTCTGGGAGCATTCTGGGGGCGCTTCAGGGCTGTCTTGGAGGGTATCTTGGCCGTCTTGGGGGCCTATGGGGCCGTCTTGGGACCCTCGGGGGGCCGTCTCGGGAGCGTCTTTGGCCATCATGGAGGCCTTTGGGGCGGTCTTGCGGGCCTCCGGGGCCGTCGGGAGGCCGCACAGAATGAAGCACCCACGTCCCTTCAAAAGCAGGCAGGACATCATTGACTTGGCCGTTTCGTTTTTTTTTGGGGGGGGGGAGGGCTTCCTGGGCCCTCTTGGGTGCATCTTGAGCACTCTGGGACATGTCTGGCGGCCATCGTGGGCTCTCTGGCCCCCAGGGGTGGGCACCCCTGGCAGATCTCTGCTGCGCGTCCCCGCCCCGCCCAGGCAATGGGAGAGCCCGGGCGGAGCAGCGGGCCCCCCCATCCTTGCCCGGCAGAGGCCCCCCCCCAGCCGCACCACCCCGAGCAGATCGGGGGCGGAGAAGAGGGGGGTGATGACTAGGGGGGGGGTGGATATCATGGCGGGGGCCACGACATTTCCCCAGATCTCATGGCGCTTCTTCTTGTTTCACTACGTCCCTGGCCCCCCCGTGGGGCCGCGCACATGCAAAAGGAATATGATGCCGCCCCCCCCCCCCCCTTGGACCCCCCCCCGCACCACCCCGAGCAGAGCTGAAGCTCGGGCTCTCGGAAGCTCACACGCCGCATCGGCGGATTTGGGATGAATGAGCACGGCGCCTACGCGAGAGCCGCAATCTGGAATCGCCCGCCCCCCCCCCAAATAGGAAGTTGCTGCACACTCCAGACTTCCGTGATCATCAATGCTGTGGTGGGGAGGTCACAGGCGAAACGCCCGGCCTTACCTACCGACGCGTCTGAGGGTGCGAGGTGCGACAGGGAGGAGTTATTCACAAGGGAAACTCCGCGGCGAGCGAGGGGAGGGGAAAGTGAGAAGGAGAAGGCCTTCTCAGAAGGTGGCGGAGCCTCTCAGACGCCCTCTGGCCTTTGGGGAAGTTCTTTGCGTCTTCGGAAACATAGAGACAACTTTTCCGAAGGCTGGAGGACTTTCGAGCATTCTGATAAGGTCCACCCCTACCCACTTCCCCCCGAGCTGGCCGCCTAGACACGGATAAAAGAGGAGGAGGAGGAGGAGGGGGAGGAGGGGGAGGAGGAGGGGGGAGGAGGAGGAGGAGGAGGAGGAGGAGAAGGAAACATATGGAAACAGGAGGAGGAGGAGGAGAAGGAGGCGGAGGAGGCGGAGGAATGAGGAAGGAGCAAAGAGGAAGGAGGAAGGACGCAGGATGAAGGAGTAATGAGGAATAATGAAGGAGGAAGAAGGAAGAAGGAGGAGGAAACAGGAGGAGGAACACGAAGAGGACATGGAAGGCGCAGGATGCAGGATGCATGACGCAGGAGGCAGGAGGAAGACGAATATGATGAGGCGACGAATCGGGGTTTGCAGGAAGCAGGCTGCACTTAGAGAAGGAGAAAGGAAGGCGGGATGAGCTGCAATCCCATGCAGTAAACAGGAGGCGTGTAGCAGGATACGGAACATAAGAGGGAGTGTTATAAATTGGCGGCAAACGCATGACACACCAATATGATGATACATGGTGATTATGGTGATGATGGTGATAATGATTGTTGTGAGCATGGCGACTTTCATGACGAGCATGACGGTGGTGGTGGTGATCAGGATGATGCTGCTGCTGCTGATGATGATGTTGAGGATGCCGATATTGATGCTGATGATGATGTTGCTGGTGGTCGTGGTGATGCTGCTGATGATGATGCTGCTGCTGATGCTGATACTGCTACTGCTGCTGCTGAGGATGCTGGTCATGCTGCTGCTACGCTTCATCTCGATGATGCTGATGATGCTGCTGCTGATGGTGATAATCATGATGATGACGATGCCGATGATGAGGATGATGATGCTGATGATGATGATGATGATGATGATGATGATGATGATTATTATGCTCATACTGATGACGCTGATGCTGGTGATGATGATGATGATGATGATGATGATGATGGTGGTGGTGGTGGTGATGCCGATGATGCTGATGATGATGCTGATGCTGATGCTGATGATGATGATCGTGATGCTGGTGGCGGTGGTGTTGGTGGTGGTGCTGCTGTGATGAAGATGATGATGTTACTGATGCTGCTGATGATGATTATGTTGCTGCTGATGATGATGGTGATGATGGTGATGATGATGACGGTGCTGATTATGATTTTGATCATGCTGCTGCTGATGATGCTGATGATGATTCATGATGATGATGATGACGATGATGATGACGACGATGCTGATGATGATGATGATGATGATGATGATGATGATGATGATGATGATGATGATGATGATGATGATGATGATAATGGTGATGGTTGGCGATTGTCAACTTATGGTTTTATCGATTGGTGGGTGAAGTGCTGGTGGTGATGATGATGCCAGGGTGCAGGGCTTCGCGATTTCAATCGCAACTTTGTCATTTCTGGCGACGTCCGCCTCTGCCGCCCCTTACTACGCCCACTCCTTCCCCCTCGCTCCTTTCCCCCTCCCCCCTCCCTCCCCCTCCCTCCCCCCCTCTCCTTTCCGCCCCCCCTCCCTCCTCCCTCCCTCTCTTTGCTCCCCCTTTTTCCCCACCCCCTTTTCTCCCCCCCCTTTCCTCGCCCCCCTCGTTCTCCCCCCCCACCCTTCGCGCGTTCCAGCTGGTGCTGCCCCACGTGCCCGAGGGCGTGCTGCTGCGAGCTCTTCAGGACCCGTGGCCCCGAGCGAACGCCCGTGTCCAGGGGAAGGAAGGGCCGACGCCGAAGCCGACGCCAACGCCGCCGTCGCCGCCGCCGCCGCCGACACGACGACGACCACGACGGACGGCTCCCAGGTGTCCTCTTGGTGGCCCAGACATCCAACTTGTTGACACATGTCAAGACGGATGGGTGTCAACGTTTTTTTCTTTGCCTCATGGAGCCCTTGCCAGGCCCCAGGGCCACCAACAAAACGACTGGGGAGGAACAGTTGGCCCTGCTGAAGGGGCCTGGATTTCCGCAGGCCCCGTATGACGGATCCGGGGGGGGGGGGCGGCGCCGACGACGAGCTGACGGACGGACTCACGGACGGACCGACGAGGACGGTGACTCGGAGGGGTCCCCCTTCGGGGCGGCCGACGACGAAGGACGGACGGTGACGGCGGACGACGACTCGGACGGCGACGGCGGACGATTCGGGGGGGCCAGCGACGGCGACTCGGAGGGGTCTTCTCGGGGCAGGCGAGAGGGGGGCAAGGTAAGAAGAGAGGCCTGGACTTCCAGAGGTCCGCGCAGGCTTCCCTGGTTTGGCACGGGAGCCCCCTCCCCGGCGTGCGGAGCGCTCCAGAGGCGGCATTGGAGGCGCCGCCAGGGGAGCCCGCCGTCGATCTCAGAGGAGCGCGCGGACTCTGGCACGTTGATGCTTGCGCAGGTTTCACGCAGGATCCTTGCCCAGTTCCCAACCATTCTGTGTTGAGCTGGGCCCTCGTTGCGCACCATCCGCACCGGGCGGCTTCCCTCCCTCCCTCCCTCCCTCCTCTCAGGGGGGGAAGAAACACACAGACGCAATGAATCTCTGAATCGCCGATTCCCCAGAAAATATAGGAAAATATGGGCAGTGGGGGGGAAGACAGGAACCCAGAAAATATGGGGAATCTTTTTATTTGTGTGTATTTATTGAATCGCTTCGCTCATTCCGCCGGCCCGTGTGGGCCTCTTGGGGGCCTCTTATGGGGCGCCTTTTCGTCGGATGTCGTCCATTCTGAATGGGGGGAGGAGGAGGAGGAGGAGGAGGAGGAGGAGGAGGAGGAGGAGGAGGAGGAGGAGGAGGAGGAGGAGGACGAGGAGGAGGAGGAAGAGGAGGAGGAGGAGGAGGAGGAAGGAGGAGGGGGATGAGGAGCGATGAGGAGCGCCTTTGTCGTCGTCGTCGTCGCCGCGGCCGCCGCCCGCCGCCGCCGCCCGCCGGCGTCGTCGTCGTCGTCGTCGTGGAGGGTCGAGGCTCGAGTCTGGAGGCCGAGCGCGGGGGAGGAGGACCACCCCGACCCGCGTTTCCCAAGTCGCGTCTGGCTGGAGTCTTGGAGGCGTCCTGGGGGCCTCCTGAGGGTTTTTTGGAGGCCTCCAGAGGGCCTTTTGGAGGCCTCTTGAGGCCTCTTGAGGGCCTCTTGGGGGCCTCTTGGGGCCTTTGGGGGCGTCTTGGGGCCTCCCGGGGGCCTCTAAGGGCCGAGAGCTCGAAATTCTGTTTCGTGAACCCCCTCTTGGGGCGTTCTTGAAGCGTTCTTGGGGCCCTCTTGGGCCGTCTTGGAGGCCTCTTGGGCCGTCTTGGAGCCGTCTTGGGCCATCTTGGAGCCCTCTTGGGGGCCTCTTGGGCCCTCTTGGGGCGATCTTGGAGGCCTCTTGAGCCGTTTAGGGGCGTCGGGGAACCGAAAAGGTTGAAACGCCCAAATCTGTCCAAAACCTATGGAAAAGCATTGTTTGTTTGCCTCTTGGGGCCCTCTTGGGAATGCACTTGGAGACCTCCTGGGGATCTTGGAGCTTCTTGGGTCATCTTGGAGACGTGAGGCTTCTTGGGTCATCTTGGAGACGTCTTGGGCCGTCTGGAGGCCATCTTGGGCGTCGTGGAGCGATATTCGGGCGTCTCGGACCTCTCTTGGACCGTGTTGGGGGCGTTCTTGGGGCCCTCTTGGGCCGTCCTGGAGGCCTCTGGGGCCGTCTTGGAGCCGTCTTGGGCCGTCTTGGGGCCCTCTTGGGGGCCTCTTGGGCCCTCTTGGGGCGATCTTGGAGGCCTCTTGAGCCGTTTAGGGGCGTCGGGGAACCGAAAAGGTTGACACGCCCAAATCTGTCCAAAACCAAAGGAAAGCACACGTTTTTGGCCTCTTGGGGCCCTCTTGGGAGTTCTCTTGGAGGCCTCTTGGGGCATCTTGGAGGCTTCTTGGGCCATCTTGGAGACGTCTTGGGCCGTCCGGAGGCCATCTTGGGCGTCGTGGAGCGATATTCGGGCGTCTCGGACCTCTCTTGGACCGTGTTGGGGGCGTTCTTGGGGCCCTCTTGGGCCGTCTTGGAGGCCTCTGGGGCCGTCTTGGAGCCGTCTTGGGCCGTCTTGGGGCCCTCTTGGGGGCCTCTTGGGCCCTCTTGGGGCGATCTTGGAGGCCTCTTGAGCCGTTTAGGGGCGTCGGGGAACCGAAAAGGTTGACACGCCCAAATCTGTCCAAAACCTAAGAAAAACATTGATTTTTGCCTCTTGGGGCCCTCTTGGGAGTGCTCCTGGAGGCCTCTTGGGGCATCTTGGAGGCTTGTTGAGTCATCTTGGAGACCTCTTGGGCCCTCTGGAGGCCATCTTGGGCGCCGTGGAGCGATCTTCGGGCGTCTCGGACCTCTCTTGGATTGTGTTGGGGGCCTCTTGGGGCCCTCTTGGGGCGATCCTCGAGGATCTGGGGGTGTGTCCCGGGCGTGTCTCGGGCGTGTCCCGGGCTCCTCTCGGGGTACTTTTGATCCAGGGACCCCCAGGGGCAGCCACGCGCGCGCGAACCAGAAATACTGTTTACCAGTTACCGGAGATCTTAGCACGCCTCTGGCCCGTTGGGCCGGCGAATTTGTGTGTCCCAGGGCCCATTCATCCTCGTTTTCCTCCTCGCACCCCGTCGCCTCTGCAGCTCTGCCCTCCGCCTGTCTCTGTTTTGGCAATCCCACCCCCGAGCGTTCCGTGCACCCGCTGGGAGCCTCACCGAAGGCCCCGGCGGCTGCGTTCGCGAGCCGCCGCCACCCCATTTTGGCGCACCCCCCCACACATGGCCCCACAGTGAGCTCCGCCGAAGGCCCCAGTGGCTGCGTTCGCATACCGCCGCCACCCCACCTCCTCTCTGCCTCTGGCCCCGGTTGCTGCGTTCGCATGCCGCCGCCACCTCACCTCCTCCTCCTCCTCCTTCTCCTCCTCTCCACCTCCTCCTCCTCCTCCTTCTCCTCCTCCTCCTCCTCCTCCTCCTCTCGCCTCTCTCCTCCTCCTCCTCCTCCTCCTCCTCCTCCTCCTCCTCCTCCTCCTAGTCGGCGTGGGAAGGCCCAAAACTCTTGCGACCCGCTAGGAGGGCGAGAGTAGATTCCCCACGCAGACTTCGCGGCCCATCGCACCGCCTCGGCCGAGGGAGGGGGGAGGGAGGGGCATGCTCTTTCATCCATCTACTTGCCACTGAATCGTATTCCATGAAAGTGGTGACGTACAACCCCCAAGCGGCTGGACTTAGTGAGAGATTGGAGGATATTAGTTCGGAGCTGAAGGGGTGGGACGTGGTATTATTGAACGGTACTCACCACTGGGCGGGAGCGGAAAGTGTGTTCACTACGAGACTGCCCAATCATATGGCGTACAGGGTCGGGGGACAAAAAGGGTAGGCTTGTGACGAAAGTGTGTGGAGTGGCTATATTGGTGGCGCACCACATTCATCCCAGTGCGTTGCGACAGGTCTTTGTTCCCCCGTTGGACATTCAGGGAAGAGTAGGTGGATTGCGACTCTGGTCGCGAGAGGTTGATTTTTGCTTCTTCAGTGTATATCTTGCGCCGACTCACTTTGCTCAGTTCCCGACAGTGGCTGATAAAGTGACTAGCTGGCTGGAACATGAGTGTGACGGACTCGGGACCCGATCTACGATTGTGATAGGTGGATATATCAACAGCCAATTCGGGTTACATAGGGGAACGGACGGGGTTGTGGAAAAAAACTGGGGGCACACTACGGGCCCAGCCCGCCCAGAGCTTGAAAATGGAAATGGAACCAAGTTTCGAACGATGTGTGCTGGGCCCAACCTTTCGATAGTCACGACTTACTACGATGTAGGCCCGACTTATTATGCGGCTAAAGGTGGTAGTAGTGCTATCGACCATATAGCTATCCCGGCTGCTGCTCTAGGACTAGTTCAAAGATGCGTAGCGCTCCGCACGGCTGCGAAGCGCCTCCAACTGATCAAACGTAGAAGACACAGAGACCACATACCAATTGGGTTGGTCCTCGATGTGACGGGGAAACACAGCTTTGCGTCGGTGCGTCGAGAGAAGGAACCGCCCTTGAATCGGGACCAGCTGATGGACTGCTTGCGTCGTGGTACGAGACGTCCCGAGTTTTTCGCGACCCTGGAGACTGCTATAGAGGAGGTTAGGGAGGAGTGGGAGACGGCTAAAGAGGAGAGCACCCCCGATGCCATGTGGAGACTTTGGGGAGGGGCGGCAAGGAAGGCTTTGGACCAGGTGTTCAGACAAGGCCAGCTCTCGGCGGACGAGGCTGCTGTGCGACGACGAAGAATGGCACTGCTGAGAGAGCGGAGAGAGTTGCGAGAGAGGATGGTAGATGCCACTGCTGACGGCGTGCTATGTGAAGTGCATCACGAATTAGCAGAAATGACTGCCCTATTGAAAGCGATCCGACTGGACGCAGAGAAGGCGAGAAGAGCTAAACTTGTGGAGGAGATATGGGAAGCCCATCAGCGAAGCGATTTCAGTTCCATGCACAAGCTTAGAATTCAGTACCAGAGGAATGAACGCGGCCCCAAAAAGAGGTACTACATGGCAGCTCGTACCCGCTGGTCTAAAGCTGAATGGATCCACGAGTTAGGCAAAGCGCCAGAGGAGGGAGGGCTGGGGGCTAGGGAGATCTCGCATGAGGACTTCGAACAAGAGCAAATATATCGGATTGGCGAACAACTCCCTCTCCCAGTGGACCACGACACCCTCGGCCAGGTTGAGCTTG